CTTTCTGGAAGACACAGCTGCTTTAATGCTTCAAGGAGATACACTGCCAATGTGTTTCATGAAATGCCTTTTTCAGAAGTTTTGTACAGCCCTAAAAGTGCTACTCTTTCATTGCTTCCAGATTGATGGGTCCTAGCACTTGACAGTTGAAAAACCTTATGCAAGTACAGTGTTTAACTTTTTGTTGTTAATGGAGTTTGATTTTCTGGTAATAAGAGATGAAAAAAAATTGAGAGGATTACAAATGGAAGACAGCAGCCTTCTGGATCACCAGTAAAATTTCATGAGTGAGGCACAGCAGTTTGCAGAATAAAAACCTCATCTGAAAGCACCTTTTAAACACAGAGATCAATTATGACAATATTCAAAGGCTTTTCAGCTGTCTTTTTGGAGTATGTTACTGTAAATTATGTGCAGGAGAAAGAAAAGTATTGATTGGGTTAAGGAAAAAAATACAAATGTAGATGCATTTTCATGTGTGAAGGGGAAAAAGACCCCCTCAAGCATTTACATAATAGCAGTTAAGTGTATTCATACAATCTTGAGCAAATATGTAGATCTGTATTGCCAGAAAGGTGGTTGGAGGAAATTTAACTCTGTTTCTTGGAAATGATTAAACCTAGACTGCAAAGATTTTGTTCTGTGCGTTTGTAGCTATACGGCTGTGTTGATGTAGTATTATGACAGGCAAACAATATGTCACATTGTTATCTCTGGTGTCTTGTTTGTATTTCATCATGTTGCCTAACATTCCAGATCTTAGGGGGGGAAATGTTGATGAATAGAGCTTATAAGCACAGGTATTTGAGAGATAGCCTGGGTCCCTGCCCAGCTGCTTGCTGAAGCAAAGAAAAGTATTCTGAGGATGAATACTCTTATGTGCTGTAGACCAGACATGGTAATAAATTTGGAAAACTGCGGTATGATTCTGTGGGTATTTAAAAGTATATATTATCTAGGGCAGTGTTTCTCAACCTTGGCAACTTTAAGATGTGTGGACTTTGACTCATAGAATTCCCCTTAAATTTAAGATCATCTTCTTCATTGCATCAAACAGCCTACTGCAGATCATTTGGGTTCTCAGCCAACAACATGTTAAAATCTGTTTACAAAAGTACACATACATTCATATCCCAAACCAGCCTACCTCCAACATCACCTCAGGCATCCCTTACACATTTATCTCTAAGTATCCATCCATATCTTATTTTCTGGTCAGTGTTGAACCAGCTTCCATTCATTCACATGCATGCTTAACTATTATCATATACTGCTGTTACCACATTCGGCAGCCAATTGCAACTCCAGCAGTTGTATGTACGTCATTTCTGCATTCAGCAGGAATTCTGTTTTAAAGATTCACTGGGAAGTTTGTGTAATGTGCAGATATAGATAAGACTATTAAAATTCCTACCCTCTCATCTGCAGTCTTTGCAGAGTTACCAAATATTCTACCAGGCAAACGTAGAATTGATTGTCTACTTAGCTGATTGTGTACTTAGATGAATAGAAATAAACCAAATTTCTCCAAGATATCCCTATATTATTTAAATAGAAAGTTGGAGTATTTTCTAGTGCTGGGCATCATTGCTTGATTTAGCATTATGGCATGGATGCCAAAAGAAAACAAACATACTTTTAAATGGCCAAAATCTCAGATTTTGTAAGATTTTAACAGTTTTTTAAAATTTTTGTTAGGACTTATATATGCCACTTGACAGTTGTTGCAGACAACATAACATCTGTGAGTGTAACATAGTCAACTCTTGATGTAAGTGGTAGAATCTGAGAAAGCATATTATACTGTTCACTTTTTGCCCTCCTTGTAATAATAGGTAGTTGCCTGACAAGCGTTTATTAACATTTGGTGTTGGGATGGCATAAAACAGGAAAATGGGAGAGAAGTATCAAAATTAATAATAACCTGTGTATGAACACAGCAGGATGTTCAGATGGGAACCTTGTTTGCCATGGAGCACACCGTTTTTCTTTTAACATGTAGGTAGAAAGTGGAAAGTTACTGTTTAGTTTTGGTGCCAGAATCTTGAACAGAAGTCATTACTTGTGGTATGTTTACAGGCCACAGGATATTTGCTAGTTTATATCTTGCTTGCTAAATTGGCAAATGTTTATTTTTACTGGTAAACATAGTGGAGATTAGTCCTGAGTGGTTTCTTTCACAACAAAATTGTGTTTGTTGAACTTATTAAACAGGGCTCTTTTTATATGTCAGCTATGCATTGAATATGATATAAAACTGGAATTGCAAGGATAGTCTCTTGCTCAGGTGTGATGTGCTGCTGATCCAGTTCATGGTAATTATATTTTGGACATAACGAGAAGAAGAAAAACTTCAATATTTCATGTTTGAAGCAAGACTGCAGTGTATGGCACTGTCCTTTGTGCCAAGGCAAAAATATGGTTTGTTTGGTTTGAGCTTACAGTAGTAGGTTTTATGAATTGAACTGGTTGTGACATATTCAGTAAACCATGAGTGAGCCTGATGTGTCTTAAAACCCTTTATATAAGTGTGGTACAAAACATTGCTAACTTGGGAATAACTGCATTGTGTGAGAAAACCAGCGCAAGATCCACTTATCTTATTAGTAAAAAAAAAAATTGATAGCAGTAATTGTGGTTGTCTGGAAAACATAATAAAATCTGAAGTCTAATTATTTTTCTATCCTATGCATCCCAGTGAATTAACACTGTCAGTATTTAGGATGCTTTTTTTATCGGTTGCATGTTTTTAATTTGAAAAGGAAAAGAGCCATTTTTTATGGCAGATTGGGGAAAAAGTGGTCTTCTCTTCCTTTGAAGAATCTCGCTTTTCTCCAGTGAGAAATCCAATTTGTTTTCAAGAGACAGAAGCTACATGTAGTTAACATGCTGTTATCTATATTTTTAACAAAGTATATATAGAAACCTGAACAAGAGATGGGTAGTTGTGTGTTTGTGGTAACAGCATTATCCTATCTCTTGCAGAAAACAGCACCATGTGTTCAATTAAAAGGAAAACTATAGGTTGAGAACATTCATGGTTCAAAATCCCATTTGGCTAAGAATGTAAAAAATGTCCTTAAGCAAGTCCATTATCTCTTGGCATAGTGGGGATGTTGTGAAGCTGTCGTTTAGTCACCGAATCAGGGGTGAGTTATCTAAAACTTGTGTCTCCCAAAGGCTTCTAGAAGCCCTCTTACCACATTGCCAAAATGTGCTGCTGAAAATCAGTAAAGTGATTTTCTGCTGTTTTATGCTAAAAATAGAATAAGGTAGTTACTTAAGCTTTAGTATGGGCTTAAGCCACTTAATAGTAGGAGAAACGAAAGGAAAATATCCCACCCAAAGGAATATGAATACAAAATACAAACCTTGTCTATTTCTTTAATCCAGTACTCATTGCTCCACCCACTGCAACCATCAGCACCGAAGTACAATTTCCTTTCCCACAAAAAGTGGACCTTTCTTGCAATCCACAATTATGTCATGCTTCTTGAAAAAATAATGTACAGATGCAGAGTGAGAATAATGCTGCGTTGAGTAGTGAAGGATCCAATAATACATCATCCATAGTACCCAAGGCAGTTAATGACAAAAATAGTTAAAAACACAATCAAAACTAAAATTAACACACTTTATTATTATAAATAAAGAAGTATAATAAGGTATAATTATAGCTTTTTTATTTTTTAATGTTTGGTTTTATAACTTTTAACTGTATTTATGTTTTTTAGTATGTTGTAAGCCGC